GGCACATCTTTACTAAAAGTTTCATTAAAGGACATTTTTATTAAACTCCCTACCTTCTTTAGGATGCCAAATTCAATGTGAATTTTGTGTAACATTTCTCTTAACATAGTAGGTTTTTTTAAATCTATAAACAATATATGTACGGCCCCACTGAACTCCCATTTTTTCTCTAGTATCTGACGAATGCAAACGATCTGATTTATCGTTGACCTGTTTCGTCTGAACCCACACTGACGATCCCCAATAATTTCATTCGCATATGGGGTTAATCTTGCCAAAAGAATGTTGGATAGAATTTTGTATGAGGTTGATAGCAGAGAAATTCCTCGGTAATTACCACACTGTCTTGTCCCCCTTCTTATGAATAGGAATAATTATGGATTCCTCCTTGTTGTGGCATCTCTTCCTTATCCCAAATTAACTGAATAAGCTTATGGATCCTCATATGCAACCCTTTGCCACCTGCTTTAATTAATTCGGCCGGAATCTGATCAATTCCTGGAGATTTATAACTTTTCAACTTCCCAATGGCTAGTTTATCACAAAATGTCTTACTGTAAAACATCTGTATAGCATCTCATTTGGAAATTCAAACATGAGAATCTTCCGATTTGCAGTGCAGTAAAATTTTAATAAGTAACATTTTGTTTGTGCCATTTTAGATATTTTGTTTACTAACTTAGGGTTTATGCTTAATGAAGTTAATTAAAACTCCAATTTCCTACTGCTTACAGTTCTCAACTTCAAGCACTAAAATAATGTAACCCCCCCCCCCCCAACATAAACATTAGAATATGAACTTTACTGTATTGTTATAACTCTGCTATATTTAATTTGAAATTACCAATAATTTCAAAGTTGGAGTTGATACACAAAACACTAATATGCCCTGAAACTCACAATGTATGCACATGAAGGTCAACTGTACCATGACCCATATACTAACCTTCAACCTTGAAATTTCAATATGATGCTCCGCAGTTGATAAGTCGTCCCGACCAGGACGAATGCTCAACTCCGACGGCAAACAGAAAGAAACAACACTCGATTAGTCCGAATACAAACCTTTGAATGTAATTCAAGTAATATATTTCCAAATAAGCTCAATGTCACCAATATTTTAAGACATCAAGGATGTGTACACTTCTGTAATACTTACAGTGAAATAACTGTGCAACTCCTACACATGACCAGTTTTAATTGCAGATAAAATTACAGAATTTAACCCATACTACACAAGTACTGAACCTCCTACCTAATGTTACCAGGCATCCCTTTTTTTCAGTGTAGCCAACATTCCTATAATAATCAGTACATAATTCAAACAAAAGAATGTATTAACCAAGCATGAAATTTGAGGGAGGATGTATTATTGTAGAATGCCGCTGTTTCTTGGAACATTTTAGCATTACATCTAGGATTTCTCTCTTCTACATATCTAGTTAGTATTGTTTCATACAAGACAGTACACTAAAAACACCATAACTGTAGCATTAATATAACTGACAAAACTTCTGAATTTCCGTAAAGCAGACAAAATATGTCATTTGATACAAATGTGTTGTAGTCACCTCTCAATGAATCAGACCTATGTAAGGTACTAACAAAACTGGCAGACTTTTAAACCACACAAATTGAGAATCTGACAATTCAATGGTGACAATCAGAAAACTGTAATCCTAAAGTTTCATTACCTCTGTCCAGAAATAAAATACTAAACAATACATCTTTCTACACAGAAAATCACCATACACACATAAAACTGGTACTATTTTTGACCCAGAAAACCCATATATATATATATATATATAAGTTTAATACTGATACACATCTAATTACACTACTACTAAATTATTCTGTAGAGTAAATATGTATTTCTTGGGGAATAGAAAGTCACAATCTGATTAACACAAACCTTCAAAATAATGTCACTGTATAATATGTCGATTCATGTCAAGAAACAAGCCATTTCTTTTCACTAGCGATGAAACAATGGAAGAATGAAATAAGACACTAATAAAAATCATGTGGAAATGTAATACGCAACCAACACATACATCAAATGTTATTCAATTTACATTTTGGTTTGCGTGCACGTTTACTCCTATTATTTATTGTTTTTTTTCAAGATTAACACTGTTTATGTGCAATAATTTGTTTAAAAAAACTTTAAACCACTGACAAGAATACAACACTTGTGTCTTGATGTGACTACGGGCTGTAAGGATGGCCTATATTGTGTACCCATATGCATGGGCAATGCTGAATGGGTCGGCTAAACTGCTCGCTAAATCCTGCCTTCGCCCTGTGTCTCATTTAGCCTGCCTCGTCTGCCTTCCTCACTATGCCTGCCCTGTCAGCTAGCCCTAAGGTACAGTAGCAGAACCTAAATAAAGTTCAGAAAATGTACAAAACATGTTAGTTTATACCTTAGCATAACAGATCCAATACCTAAGCCTAGTTAGCAATGTTCCTCTTAATATATATGCATATATATGTATACACACACAAAAGGAACTCCATAATTAAATATGCTACTTTCCTGCATCAAACTAACATCTATCACTTCTCCAACATGCCTTGCTGAACCAGGGCAGAGAACTTAATTTCATTAAATGAAGCACAAATTAAAATCAACACAATAAAATCCTCAACTTACCACAGTGCCAGGCAAAGTAAAATGCTTTCTGAATGGTTTAATATCGCCTTGCACCTCCGCCATATCCACCAACACCACCTCCAGTGCTGTATCCGCCGCCACCACCACCTGACAGGAGCAAAATGAATTTTTCTAATCTGATATTATACGCAATGCCTCATAATAGTCAGTGCCTCACATTCATGGGAGGTCATTATAAGTAAAAAATAAACAGCAATCATCTTGCCTACTGCCAATATTCAAGCATACACGGACATCTGAAGGTTTAAATCTGAGAAAAAAGTTCCTGTATTACTTTTAAAATGTTCATTAAAACTGCAACCTATGCCTTGTCTCAAGTTAAACATCTTTCAGCAGTTATGAAAGGCATTGGAGTAACTTAGGTCATCTCTCTGCTATTAAGCAGTATTGCAAATATGAAGAGCCTAATATGTCTCACCAAATGATTACAGGAAATATATGCTCAAAATAATTTTGATTCTCCAAGGCCCATCAATGGGAATTCCTACAGCTGTTTTTCCTATCCCTCATGAACAGTCCTGTAAATAAAGTTAAAAGGTGAAGGCTGTTCATTTTGAATGTTCTAGCCACAGAAATGCAAGTAACAATATTAAGCATGAGCACCTTGAGTAATCTGATAATGAAATGGATAAACAGGACATGGTTACGGAGATCTGCACACCCTTGCACACAGCAAGTAGCTTCACTCCTAATCTAACTGCACTGGCATTTGACTTGTTCACTGCATGACCCCTTTCTTCAATTGCCAGCTGCACTGGACACTCGCTGATTTCGGAAATGAAACACAAATCTTTGCACGCGTGAAAACATTTGCCAACAAGGTTTTTGATGATTTAAAAAACCATAGTATTCCTAGACTACTGCTGCCACCGCATTCAACTACTGAATCCACAAATAAAACAGGTGCCTAGATATTCATTAGTATATACGCAAACTTTAAAATAACACCAGCTTAGTTCTAGCTATGCTTCCCATAATAAAAAATCCCTGCCTTAATAGTACCAAACAGCATCATTACCGAGAACAGGAAAAGTAACCACTGTTTATTTCAGACTTATATTACCTCATTTTAATGCAGGTAAGTAACAATTTTATGTGATGGGGTCACCCTAAGCATGTAAGCGCACACACTTGCATACAAACACATGCGCATCATATATGATTACCAATCATAGTAACAAATTTAAAAAACTCCACAAACCCGAATATGGGCTTGGACGTCCACCGCCACTGCCTCCAAAACTCCCTCTCACTGGACCACCACCATAATTCTGTTGGTAGCCACCACCGAAACTGTCACTGCTCCAATTTCCACCCCCACTGTTATATCCCTGGCCACCACCTTGGCCCCAGCCACCACCCGCACCACCTTGATTTTCCCACGGGTCTCCACCTGCAAAACAAAACCATCAACTGCAATCTACTCATAATATTAAAGTAGCCTAAATATCTCAAACCAAGTTCTAACCACAGTGGCACACACACAAAACTGACCAATGCTAATATTAATTTCTGATACACTCATGTTAACTCAGAAAATGTCCTACATTCAACATGAACGATTTCATACAAGGGAACCATTGTAATCAATACCTCCCCATCCACCACTGTTGTAGCCACCTCCAGCATTCCAATCGCCACTACTTCCACGTCCACCCCAGGATCCTCCTCCTCCGCCTCCACGAGCTCCTCCACGACCGCCTCCGCCGCCACCACCACCAGATCTACCACCAGGGCCCTGGCCTGCCATTTCTGCCTTACTCAGAGCCTTTTTAACATCAATATGCTTCCCTCTAATTTGGTGAGTTCTTTGCACTGAAAGATAAAATCTTATAAAACAATGTCCTACAGCCACAAGAAACATAATTTGCAAATATGTGGAAAACAACAGAAAACATGTTACATGAAACAAACATCGACCTTGCAAGGATAAATACAACAGACATGAAGTCCTTCAAAGAACAAATTCATAAAATGTATACATACAACATATTTTATCCACAGGATCATAATCTTCAAACTCAACAAATCCAAAACCTCGTTTTTTGCCGGTTTCTTTGTCAGTAACTATAGCACATGAGACTATAGGGCCAAACTCTTTGAAGTACTCTCGGAGGTCATCTTCCTCCATATCTTCCTTCAAACCTCCAACAAAAAGCTTTTTCACAGTGGCACCAGCTTCTGGACGTCCAATTTCCTATGAAAACAGAATACATTAAACGCTTATGCCACAACTTGCTAAAAGAATGTATATAGTACCATACACCTTCCTCATACCTGTCTAGGAACGGCCCGCTTAGGTTCCACAACCCTGCCATCCACTCTATGAGGACGAGCATTCTGTGCATCATCTACCATATGTGCTCGGGAGTATGTAATGAAACCAAAGCCCCGTGACCTATCAAGAGAGCACATAATATATATCATATTTAAGTTTGGACATATATGTTCACAACTTGTGGTAGCAGCAAAAGATAATGCACCTTTTTGTTTTCGGGTCCTTCATAACAACAACATCAACAATTTCGCCCCACTGTTCAAAATGTTTTTTCAGAGATTCATCAGTCGTTCGGTAGTCCAGACCACCAATGAAAAGCTTCCGTATGTGTTCGGGCTCCGTTTTTCCACCTTCCTGTAAAACAAAGAGCAAACTTTCCTTCAAATAATGAACACTTCATAGTTTGAAGAAAAGTACCAATGTTAATATGAACAAGTTACAATTACAAACAATTTATGAAATTAATGCTAGCTGTGTAAAAAATGTATAGCAATTTGTAAAGATCTTTTTTTTAAATTTAGTGTTTTCTCCTTCATTAAACTGGCATGACTTTACTGTACCAACTTTTCAACAAACAGCTGATCCAAAGAACAATTCTGAACTATAACAGTAACCAAATAAATAACAAAACTACTAAATCAATATTTAATATGTAAGTGAAAATCTTGCATACTAGTGAACATTGCACCTATACAATGCTTAGTGCACCATACAGCATAATCTCTTTGCAAAATACTGCACAATCTTGTGCTGTATGATCATTCCCATAAAGGCATAATAGAAGGAGCAGTTTGAATGCTGTCTGTGTGTGATGTGGCACCAGGGCTCTGCAAGTGCAGCTAAGACCCCAAATCAAACCTGTTTTCACAAAAGCTACAGAATAGTGCACATAACTTTGAGCATATGTCCTATAAACAAAGTAAGATATTGCTGATTTCTGCAATGAAGAGGAATTACATTGCATGTAAGGTAAACTGCTGCAGGATTCAGTATTATTCTATAATAAACTACATTTCTAGCAAGTCAAATAATTTCTGGCTGTATAACAAGGAAAGGAATTGGAAAACCAACATTTTTGAAAAGTGGTATATAGGTGAGGTACACATATTTTGGAACAATACCCGACATACACCAGTAGACAGGTTTTTGCACATAATCACATCAGAAAAAACAACCATTGTTACAAACCATCAGGAATGTTTTATAAATGTATGTAGGGGTGATGCAATTTATGTAGCCTCTGTAAAACAGAACTGTGGGAGAAATTTTTGTACGGCAGCCCCAGAAACCAATGTCCTGCTAAAACTTAATGATGCTAATATGAGACATCTGCTGGTAGGTGGCTCTACCAACATGAAAGCACAGGCTTGCATAACTTTATTAACAAAAGGGAAAATAAAACTGATGCCAAGATAAAATACAGGACTCTACAAACATTTTTCAGCTGGTATTGTCAGTTTTACAAACATCTGATTCAAGGATGAGTGCATTAGGCCATATGATCCTGAGAGTAAGCAGCAAAGCATCCTGCGAATCTCTTCAATACAATAAAAAAACTTCTGTATCAACAAGCAGTTAAGATTATGGCACTGTTTTTTTGTCATGGGATAAATAACACACACACCAGGCAAAAAAAATTTCACTGCAGCTTACTATTGTTCAGTTCTCAAAAAAGATCATGAGCATCATCATAAACGACCAGAACCTGATTAATGCCAGACCCAATGTTGCAAACACTCATTCAATTTTTGAGAAGTAAAGGCATTCAGCATAATCCCCACCCTCCCTATAGCCTTTTGACTTATTTGGTTCCCTCCAATATGTGGCAGCTACAAGGACATCTCTTCCAGGCCACACATGCAGCAGTCAAATCTGAGGTAATTTTAAAGACGAAATACAAAAGTGGCTTCAACCATGTCCTTTTATGAGAGGCAAAAATATTGGTTGAGGTACCCAAGTTCAGGGGAGGCTGTTCTGAAAAATAACACACGTAAAGAATCATAATAAAGGAGGCATGTTTTAAAAAAATCATTCTGTCTTCATTATACAGCAATCATTCAAGAGATTGATAGGTTACTGGTCAGGTCTGGTAACCAACACCCAAATTCACACCTCTCTGGTGCTCACAAAGGGCTTAATTACATCAATACAAAGTAAATAGTGTATGCAGTAAAAAATTATGTCCAAGAAAAACCTCGTTACACAATTTACCGAGTACTCGTTTATAATAAACTGTCAGTCCTCTACCATTAAACAAGTTTCAGCAGTGCTGAAATAATAAATTAAAGAAATGTACTGCATGAACTATTGCACGCTGTTTAAATTACATATGAAAAGCTACTATTCTCAGCAACACACAAGGTCAAAAAACGTAAAATATCTTTCGACTCAAGACTGAAAAATATGTCTTCCGTGACTCATGAAAAGAAAATGGCGATGAGCATACGTAATTGAACCTCCCTATGCACAAGCATATCAGTTTTTACATTATAAACATGGTGTGATGCACTTTTTATTAAAACCAAACAAAACTATAAAAAAATTACAAAGCAAATTTCTTCAAAATACCCCCAACTGTACCTATTCGGAAACAAATGTACGCTTATCATTACTGGCTTCTGGGTGGCGTCACTATGCCTGCTACACAAAAGCCGGATCGAAGATTATTCTATTCATTCAGAAAATTCCACACATCTCCATGAATATTGCATCGAAGTTTGTATTACGTCTGTTGAAATGCTTTACAAACAAATGTCGACCTTACCTCGTGCTCCATCTTTACCATTTCCCCAAAAAGTACGGAAACTTTGAACCTGCAGACAAGCCAAGAAACAGCCACACAACGAAGAATCCAATACCAAAATGGCCGATGCTGTCGTGCTGTCCACCACAGAACATAAGTAAATGAAGAGGGGGCAAGTTGCCAGCGAACGTAGAGACACCAACACTTCTTTCAACAAACTACTACGATGATGTAATAAATTCTTCTCGTGCTACAAGCCGTAAATGGTGGTTTACGAAGTAAACACCGTCAACTACAGTACCCTGACGGTTCTCGAAGCGCTGTTTTCGACATTTAGCCACCTTCCACGGCTGGTAGTCCGAGAATTTGTTATACTTCATGGGCGAGAAAGCTTCAGAATAGAAATACTACGTAAATGTTAGCTCTGACTACTGCTGTTGGCAACAGATGTCGCATGAAGTCGTCGGTTGGTGTCCACAGGACCAAAAAAACGCAGCATTTGGTTACAAACGGGTCACAGATTAACACAATACCTGTCATAGATGTGTAACTCCAATGCTTTAGTTGGGAACGTAACGCCGTGTGTATGTGCTGCAACCTGTGAAAGATTCACAAATGAACGGTCAAAAATGATTTAACTACTGCTCAACTTTCAAAATTCCTCCAAGCCCTCCACAAAAACTGCAAATACAACATGAATAATTTTGAAACCCAGACATCGTAAATAATCAACGTCTCGGAGGAACTCGATCAATTTTTTGGGGTACAATTGAGTGCGTATAATTTTCACATAACTTTTATCAATCAGTTGCAGATATACCAGCAACAATCCATAATCCCCCTATTGAAATGTACCGAACCATAATATAGTCAATCTGATATTCATAAGAACTAAGGACACTTGAGGTTTGAAAATTCTCAAGAAAAAAGAAGTTTTGATGATAGAAATTTGTATTCAACTTCATAATTAGTATACATATTTATATTTGGATCCACATAAAACAGTTTTCAGTGACTTCAATATAATGTTCTTGGACAAACCGGCGTAAATTGAATCTCTTTTATAATGTAAATCAATGAGAAGTTAATGACATGCCTTCCCAGCACCGAAACATTAACGAGTAATATAATGGCATTACATTTAAAGCTCTGAAATAAGAAACATAAAATAAAGGGAGTTTAAAAAAAATATTTTACACATTTAAAATCGGCAATTCGTTGGTCCCAGTGACTGACATCGATTCTTTCATGTGATTGATGTGTACAGTCATCTCTGCCGTTATGCGATAGTTGCATTCATCTAAGACGCCGACCTATCGAAAATATTGTAGTAAAAGTAATCCCGGTACCTCCGCAGAGATTAAATTAGTCCTTTGAAAGCTTAAAACGACAGGAATGAAATTGCATAAAAGCAAACTCGCATATGCAAATGTTTGCATTTCACAAACAGCTTTTACCGATTCAGCGATCTCATTGGAGCAAATTCGCTTTAACGAAACATATGTAATTGCAGAGATGACTGTATTTATAATTTTTATTTAAAATCAGCGATGTAAGAATTACGATTTATTATAAG